TTTCTCTCTATATTGATTCTGCAGACATGACTATATTTATTTATTTGGAGTATTTATACCCTGCTCTTCAGCCAAAAGAGTATCAGAGCGGCTTACAAATGATTAATTAGACATTTCCCTGCCCTCAGGCTTACAATCTAAAAGACTATATTTTTGAATGGTTAATGGAGTGCACCAAAGAATTCCAGAACTGCTGCTGCTGTGGGGAAACAGGGCCAGGTACCCTTGGACTTGTCCTTCAATGCAGATGTGGTGGCTCCTCATGAGAAACTGCCACTGCCATGGGGAAGCAGGGCTGCATACACTTGCCCACCCCTCTAGTGGGAGGAGGGCCCACTTGGGTGTCACCCCTTTTCTGTGGTGTCACCTAGTGCAGGCCGCGCCACTGAACCCTTGTAGTGATGCAACTGTACAAGGTGTTGTGGTTGGGATGTCAATTTTGCTCTTCCATACATTCATTTTTTTTTAAAAAAACTCATGTTCTTTTCATTGAATGTATAAGAAACTCAGTGAATTCTGGAACATTCTTATGAAAAACTATCCAAATGAAATTGTCAATCATTTTCACTGGCCAAGTGCCAAAGGGACAGCTATTCACTGTTTGGAGAGAATAGTAAAAGTGTGATTTTGGGAAAGTTCTTATCAAAACAATGAACTAAACATTCATCCTTACATTTTGGGCAAGGCTTATTTTTTTTCTGCTTCAGTTCAGTATGTCTAGAATGGGGCTCTGTGGAACACATTACATGGTGAGAATTGCAAAATTGCCATGAATAGATGTACTTTTATTGTATCATTATTTTGTGAATCCTGGGTCAAATCCATTCAGTCAACCTTTTCTGCTAAGTAGGGCTGGAGATAAATTAAAGATGTGTACGCATTGAAAACGTCTCATTTTCAATTTAAAAATACTGGCTGAGGGAGCCCAACTGAGGATTGTAGTTAAAATCCCCCCTCTATGGTACTATTTGACTTTCATGGGAAGCTTCCAAACACCAATGACTTAGAAACTTGGGAAGGGAGGCAGTTTTTAATGTGACACAAGAGACCTACGATCCTGGTCTCTTCACCACTGCTTTCTTTTAGTTTTTGAAGAACAATTTAAACAAGACACATTAAACATATATACACATTTATTGTTCCAGTTAGTTTCAACTTCAGTCTCAACCACAACTGGGAAAGTTGCTTTTAAAATAACTCAGTTGGAGTTACATTTCTGAGGCATAAAAACAAAGAAAGTAGTTACATTTTGTTACAGTTACATTTTTTTAAAAAACAAGATTTTACTTTATTAAGCAAAAATGATAAAAACATATACTTTTCAAATACTATCAGAATGCTACAAACGACTGGCCTGTAATATGAAAGACACATAACTAGTACTTTTACCCTCCCCCAGTAACTAGAAAATTAACTAAAACAATTATAGTTACACTGCAGTTACACTGCAACAAGTTACCTTGTTATGTTACAACTGTAATATAATGGAAGCCAGAATGCTATTGGGGCTTTGTGCTCGTGTAATTTGGGTTATATTAGTGTATCTACTCTTTATGATATTGAGTAAGAAGTTACTCTGTTCCTCCTTACATAAGAAATTTGCTCAATAGTGGAAGTGGTGTGGTGGTTTGAGTGTTGGACTATAACTCTGGAGACCAGGGTTCAATTCCCAGCTCAGCCATGGCACCCACTGAGAGACCTTGGGCAAGTCACATGCTCTCAACCTCAGGAGAAGGCAATAGCAAACCTCTTCTGAACAAGTCTTGCCAAGAAAAACCCCATGATAGGTTCACCTCAGGGTCACCATAAGTTGGAAAGACACATAACAACAACAAAAGCAATGGTTATCAGATGGCACCTGGACATAGTTCTGACCCAAACCAAGCACCACTGATTCCCTCCCTTATGCCATTCTTGATCTGGCTGCCTCCTTCTCTAGCAGGCTAGACTCAGCATTAGTACTCTGGTACATTAGTACTGTACATGCTACCAGCTGTTGGGATCTTGGCCAGGTTTTATCTTCATTATTGCAAAAAGAAATAAATAATAAGTAACTTGTTATTTGCAAAAAATTTTCCCCAAGCTCTGGCCTCAAGCAATATCATGACTCACTATTACATTGTCAAAAGTGACCAGGGCTCATTTCATCACATTTATCTAGCATTCTTAGGCCTAATTCACACTATGATTTAAACTGATTTGTACATCGGATCAGGCTGGCTTATTTGTGCCTCATTTACACTCGAGCTGTTTTGGAACCCAATTATGTTCAGACAGAATTAGGTTGAACCAGCAGAAGTCCTCCTGAACCAATTCTTTTGAAGACAGATCTTTTATAGCTCCTATTGAAAAGAACCAGTTTGCAACCGTGCTGAACTACTGTGTATGTGTTTCTGATCACATTTGGGTCAACCAGGGAGGAAAGGACATGGGCAGTGGGTGGGCAAAGGGGCGGTACCCATCCCAATACAGTTCTGTGCGAAGCCACCATTCCCCCCCCCCTTCCCAGCACTGCCATGAGGTTTGTGAATTTCCAGCGAAGCCACAAGTAGTCTCTTTAAATCACACTGCAGTCTCAATCACACTGTACAGCTGTGTTTCGGTCCTGTCAGAAAATTTTCAAGAGGTAGGGCAGGTAGAGGGGCTGTGCCGGGGGGGGGGGGATGATACAATTGTGGATTTAAAATAAAAATAGATAACTTCTGCAAACTATTGGATTTTCATGGATTCATGAGAGCAAGTCAGGGGTTTTGTGATGGGAATTCTTCCTTGCCCTGGCATGCTTTGATTCATGGGTGCATGGACCAGATGCTGGGGAAGTGGGGGGTGGTCCCTAGATGACTATGATGGGGAATGGTTTTTTAAAAAAATAATTGACAGTCTCTGAACACTGTCATATTTCCATGGGTTCACAGGAAATAGTAATGGGTGCCGTTGTGGGATTTATCCCTTGACACTCCCCTTGCTGCTAGCAGCTCATTTTGCAACTTGGAGGAGGAAGGTGTGTGTGTGTGTGTGTGAGAGAGAGAGAGAGAATGTGATCAGCTGTTTCCCCCATAGAAATAGTCCTGCACTCTCCCTGCTGCTAGTAGCCCATTTTCCAACACAGAAGGAAGGAGGAGGAGGAGTGTTTGTGCATCTGACACACTCACACAGAAGTCCATGGAAATAATGATAGCTGATGTGGGCGGGCACACCTCCAAGTGCTTACATCACCAGAAACATGACCATGCGCATCATATGAATGACATTTTTTTTAAAAAAAATACCTGGGATGGATTGATCACATTTGATATTAAGAATCCATTTTGTTGCAGTGCAAAAGTAAGTGTGAACATGAACTGTGTCAAATAGACATGGAGGCATTCGGTAATGAAAGTGTGAACTTCGTTCCATTTCAAATTGATTCTGTGATCCCAGATCGATGCAACTCAAAAACCGTGGGTTTTTTTTTGCAAGTGTGAATGATGCCCTAGTAAATAAAAATAGCATGAGTATTAAGTGAAGAGAAAAAAATAACTGTGTGTGTGTGTGTGAGAGAGAGAGAGAGAGAGAAAGAGAGAGATTTTTAAAAAAACAAAGGGATCCAAAATGTTTAAGCAGCGCCAGATATTGCTGTAGGCATGACATAGTCATAGCACTATACTGAGCAGATAGGAAGACAAAATCAAGTAAAATGGCTGAGATTAAATCGACATGGTTCTGAGTGATTGAAATACCAGAAGCTTCAGGATCAGTGGTATAAACAAATATCAAAATTAGAGATTGTTACTTCAGAAAGAAAGGTAGAAGTTCCCAGGATTTGTTGAGCCCACTAACATTATTATATGAGCCTCATTCTCATCACTATTGTGTTAGTAAAAGCTAACAGATACATACTGAGTTAGGGCTTTCCTTATTACATGTCCCTTCAATAGCATAACGGGGGCTGTTTCTGCCCTTGATGGTCTCTTCTGCACTCCTCCTTACCCTGCGTTCCTGCCCTATGCCCTACCTAGTATGCCCTTTGTTTTTTAATTATAATTTTATTTGTAATGCAATTTAGCAATTATGGCAATGTGATTTAGTAAAACAAAGATGAAGGAAAAGAAGGGGGGAGAAAAGAAAATCACCCTGCTTGGGAATAGCAGGGAGGAGTGGAGGAGTGGGGAGAAAAAGAGACTCACACTATAGACCTTATCCCACGGGGCCAAAAGCAGCAAGAATCCACATGGAATCAGGCGCTATAGCGCTATAGTTTTCCGGGTGATCCCACGACGTCGCTCAGAATCGGCTAAGAATCAAGCGCTATAGCGCTATAGTTTTCCGGGTGATCCCACGACGTCGCTCAGAATCCGCTAAGAATCAGGCGCTATAGCGCTATAGTTTTCCAGGTGATCCCACGACGTCGCTCAGAATCCAACAAGAAACTGCTCGGAATGCAGCATCATTCGGGTTCTTTTGAATGCCCGGTGTCAGCGGGCATTGCAATAGCGCTACCTTATCCATAGCGCTATTATAGCGCTAGCGCCATATTATACTAGCGCTATAGTACTGCGATGATGCTCATATCGGTTTCTTGCCACTTTTGAGAGCAGCGTGGGATAAGGTCCTATGTAACTGCCATTGGAAATACTCATCACATCTGAGGACTAATGGCACTGCAGCATGTTTGGGAGCTTACTGATGGGTTTTTCCCCATTAGTGAAAAGGTACACTCTAACCATGCTTCAAAGGCACAGCAGCAATGAGTTGCAGGTGATATTGTGCCATAAGTACCACCAAAGATGCTACATTCCAACTTTAATTGCATTTTAAAAGCTGTGTGTGATAATTTCCCACATATCAGTGTTTCAGAGATGCTGCATCAGTGCCTTGCAGCCAACAGGACTAAAAAAAGGAGACAGTTTATTTTGACATCTGGAGATTATGTGTTTATTCTTATAGTTAGTTCCAATTAGAATAAGCCCATTGAATCAGTGGAATTTACCTAAATCTTGACACATCTTTCAACAGTTGATTTGATGTGTCTACTCTAGTTGGAGTAAACTAATCAGACAGGCTTGCCTGTCCATACACACTCGTATATTCTCTTAATTCATCACAGGGAGAGGAGAGGAGAGGAGAGGAGAAAAGAGAAGAGAGAGAAACACAACTCTCATTTTATTTACAGTTTGAATTTAAGGCCTTCACAGATGAGCTCAAAATAGAGTTGGATCGTGTGTGTGTGTGTGTGTGTGTGTGTGTGTGTGTGTGGTGTGGAGCAAAATAAAGATCCGTGTTTTAGATGGTAGGTGAGCTTCTTCTGCCTCAGCCCAAAATATGTGGTGAGAAGGCATAATGGGTTATATACTCTAACAGCCCAAGATGAACAAAGTACTCTTCTGAAGACATACAAGGGCTTCCAGACAGTATTCATTAATCCTCAGATAACAGCATTTTGTAGCTTTGAAGTGCTGAGTACAATACTCATCCTTGGCAACCACTGAAGGAGCAGTCTCTTTCCTCTGATGGCTCTGAAGCATTCCTCAAAGGACCTGAAAATCTTCTAGAGGCTGTCAGGGAGACAGAAGATTACATAGGAGAAATACATGTTCTAGTAACCAGCAAATACAGACATCAAACACAACTGACTTAATACAGTAAAATAAAGAGGATCTAAGGGAAAGACAGGTAGCCACTGTGAATGTGAGGGACAATTTATGCTCCCATGGAAAACTGCAAAAATGGCTGAAAAGTCACAACCTGGCCAATTCCAACCTGTGATCTATAGAAAGGGTATGTGGGAAAGGAGTGTTTTGTGTCCCAGATTTGGGTGTATTGAGGGTTAGTGTTTTCCTTTGCCCACACTACTGTAGGTAAAAACATTGCCTAGCTGACATCTGTCCCTACCAATCCTGTTTATCATTCCTCTTTCAATGAGTGATAAATAAAAGTTTATTTTTAGTATACTTTATGTATTTATTTTTATATAACATTATTAGCAATCTGAAAGAAAGAAAAGAATTTAAATAACAGGTGATGTATTGATGGCTGAGTTCATGAATACAGTAGGCCTGGAGGGAAGGGTTAAGCCTTGGTTAACATTGGGGGGTTGCAGACTGCCAGAAATAGTGCAAATTGAGTCCACTTTTAGGGTTAGGGTTAGTGCTAGGGAATCATGGGAATTGTTTTTTCTCTGAGACATTGAGTCTTCTCTGTCAGAGAGTTCTGGTGCCACAATAAAATACAGTTCCCATGATTCCTTTAGCCTAACCCTAACCCTAAAAGTGGACTCAATTTGCACTATTTCTGGCAGTCTGCAAAGTTTAATTGTCCCTTCTCAAAAAAATCAGTGTCAAGTTGAAAAATCTCATTGGCACCAATGTCGTCATTGGCTTAATATGTAATTCACTGAAACATCAGTACAGTTATATGTCAGTTAAGGAAGTGCTCCTGGGCAAGACTTCTTTGACAGAAAACTTTGGTACTGGAGGCAAAAATAATATAAAAAGAATAGGGATATATTTCTGAACCACAATAAGAAGAGAAGATCAATAAGTTTAATAAAACTTCTTATCCAAAGCTAACAATATGCACATGCTTCATCCAAAATGCATCCCAGGGACATTTTCTTTTCTTTCATCAGACTCCATCTATCTTACAGTTTCTGTTTTGGTACCCATAACTTATAGATCTATGCTCTTTAAGTTAAACAATCAT